GATCATCAATTTCGTCGAAGATTTCACCTACGTGCCAGGGAGCCGTTGATAAACTTTCTTTAAAAAGACATTCATCAAAGTTCTTATAGCTTCGGAATGTTATGACTTTCCGCCGATGAGATAACACTTTGTCTTTCAAGATTCCATAAATTAGGCAGTGATCATGCACTTAACGACGGGTGATAAATTCCGCTATGCTTGAATAGATCGGGTCTATTGCTCAACAATACATCAATTAGAGTACTGGTCGTCTTATTCCCACTGGTGGCGATACGTGTAGGTTGCCCGGGCGGGGGGGTACTCCCATATGAAACAGACGGGGATGCTCGTCGTCTCGCTTAGGGGTGTAAATTTTGGATTTTGGTCTCGCTTAGGGTGTTCCGGGCAAAGCGCCAATATTTTAAGGTGCCAAGGTCTCGTTTAGGGTTCCGTGAAGAAACACAGAATTACGCGAAGAAAAACAGAAATCAAATTGTCTTTTTAGTTGTTATGTTTTACCGCATTACCTCTGTGACAATGCTTTTAAAACTACTTTTAGATAAAAGCATTCGGTGATTATGTCTTTATATCATTAAAACTCATTGCATGTCGTATTTGTGTGTTTTTAAGCGGTCTCTTTTAGGGGTCAAAATTTGCTTAAGCCACGCCCAGATTGGTCTCCTTTAGGGGTTAAATTCCAAATTTCCGACGAGCATCCCCGTCTGTTTCATATGGGAGTCCCCCCCGGGGTAGGTTGCGTAATAAGACATTCAAATCCTTGTTCAACTTCAAGATTTAATAATAATTTGCCTTCGCTTGTGTTAGGTTTCAGTCTATCCAGGTTTAAGTCACCCAAAAGTGTCACAAAATTACTTTTGAGATTAGCCCAGTTACAAATGTCACTAAGCTCGTTTTCCAGCTGTGTTTGATAGTCTCCTGAAAGAACTGTCGGTGGTCTGTAGATTCCAAGAATTACCATATTCCTGTTGTCAATCCTGATGTCGATGGCAATAGACTCTATTGTTTTATAACTCTTTTCTAACGTTAGTCTCTTGCAAGTCAATTTGGAAGATATGTACACCATTACTCCTCCACCGCCCTTTTTCCTATCATTCCTATACATCCGAAAGCCAGGAATAGAAAATTGACGATCTGGATAACTCTTGTCGATTTTGGTTTGGCTAACAAATATTATGTGTGCATTGATCTTTTTGATAACGTTTTCCAGTTCCTCAAGTTTATTTTGAATACTGTTTATGTTGATATGACAGACCAAAACATCGTTCTTGAGATGGTTCCGTAGAGATTCTAGATGGACGTTGTCGGAGTTATGCTATCCAATCCACCTTCTGTAGAACATTCGGCCGAAAATTGAGTTGTTCCCCCTTGATAATCCTCGGCAATGATTTGTGTATTACCTTCATAAACTTCTTCGAAGAAGGAGTCCGTCAGTGGCGGAAGAGCGCAGGCAGGACAAGTCCAATCAATATCAGGCTGGTCTAAGTAGTGCTGGAAAATGTGCCGAGACATATTGAGGCATTTATCGTGCGACCAGTTTCCACATATAGCACACAAGATGGCGTCTTGGTTATTTCTAACGGCCTTGTGACATTCACTGCATGGGTATTTTGACATCGACTTCTTCCCTTTCGGGCCAGGATTTGTGGCCACATCCCCGCACGAAAGCAAGTCCCTTTCCAGATTGAAGCTGCTAGTTCCTTTGGCCGTGTATAGAACCCTCCGTGAAGTAAATCGTTTGGCACGAGATTTGAATCTTCCATGGTTTGTCGAATTTGAGACGAATTCCGGTGCAACAAGCATCTTTGAGACGCTTGTGGCCTGGTAGGACTCTGGAAAGTCGTCACCTATCCTTTCACGAATTAAAACTGCTGTTATAAACAGGAATATTAGAATTTGTAGTGAGCTCGCCCAGTTCGGTCCGGCCGCCATGATGACGTACGTGCACGTGCATGTCGACCTGACTTAGGTTTTTCTTGCACTGAATGTGCTGAGTCTTTGTTTGTGGAAATCAATAGGCCGAAATAGAAAAATATAATTGTAGGTGTGGTTTACAGGCCACCAAATCAAAATTGCGAGATTTTATGAATAGCCTGGATTCGTTGCTTGCAAGTATCTCTAAGGAAAACAAGATTTGCTATGTTTTAGGTGACTGGAATCTAGACTTAATCAACCACCATTGTCACGACACAACTGGAGAATTGTTAGAAACTATGTATTCAAGAATGTTTTTTCCATTGATCACACGTCCTACAAGAATAACTTCTAACACGGCTACGCTAATTGATAATATTTTCACGAATAATTTAAACAACTTATCTGTTAGCGGGCTAATGTGTTGTGATATATCTGATCATCTTTCGATTTTCACACTGCTTCTTTATCAAAACAAGAACTTAATAAAACTTCTTGGCTTTCTTTTCGTGACAAAATTGGAAATAATGTCGCTAAGTTTAAAGATAGGCTTGCAAACGTTCATTGGGATGAATTATCTGAATGTAAAGATACTGATTGCGCTTATCGGTGTTTTCTCGATAAATACACTACCATTTACAATGACTGCTTTCCTCTCAAAAAAGTGAAAGTAAAGAAAGTTACTTTGAGCAAACCATGGATAACTAAAGATCTTCTTAAATCGGTAAGAAAAAAGAATTTATTATACAAGCGTTTCCTTGCTAACCCAACTTCATATCGTGAGAAACTTTACAAGAGTTATAAAAACAAATTGACACATTCCCTTCGCGTTGCTAAACGTCTCTACTACAATAAAAAGTTAGATGAATATAAATCAAATGCAAAATCAACTTGGAAATTACTTAACGATCTTATTAACAAGAAGAGGATTAAGTGTAAGTTGCCTTCCATCAGTTCAAATCTAATGAAGAAGAAATATTTAATCCTACTCATATAGCAAACCGTTTTTGCGAGTATTTTACGAATATTGGACCTAACTTAGCTAAATCAATTTCGGCGTCTGACAAATCTCATCGTTCTTTTCTGAATGGAGGCTTTATTAATTCATTTTTTCTTCAATCGGCTTCAGAACAAGAAGTCACTGAGATCTGCAGCAGCTTTCGATCCGGTACTGCTCTAGGATATGATAGTATTTCAATGAATGTTGTTAAAGAGTCTTTTAACTTAATCTGCGCACCATTGACGTATATAATTAGCTTGTCTCTTAATTCTGGAGTTGTACCTCAAAAAATGAAAATTGCACGAGTTATTCCATTGTTTAAATCTGGTGATAAATCTTTGTTCACAAATTACAGACCCGTATCGGTGTTACCAGATTTCTCTAAATTCCTAGAGAGAATCGTCTATAATCGCCTCATTAATTTTTTAAATAAATATGATATTCCTTCCCGAAATCAGTATGGATTCAGAAAAAAATTATTCTACTGCACATGCTTTAATCCAATTGTGTGACAAGATCTCAAATGCACTTGATAATAAAAGGGTAACTTTAGGCCTATTCATTGACCTATCTAAGGCCTTTGATACAGTAAATCATGAAATTTTGCTCGACAAATTAGAACATTATGGAGTACGTGGTATTGCTTTACAATGGTTTAAAAGTTATCTTTCTTGTCGAAAACAATTTGTGCAATATAATGGTTACAACTCTTCATCATTAGATATCACTTGCGGAGTCCCTCAGGGATCTATCTTAGGTCCCCTGTTATTCTTAGTATATATAAATGATCTATGTAATGTGTCAAAGGTCTTAGAGCTGATACTATTTGCTGATCACACTAATATCTTCTATTCGCATACTGATGCTTCCTATCTTATGGAAGTTGTAAATTTAGAATTGAAAAAGATAACGTGTTGGTTTTATACAAATAAGCTATCTATTAATGTTAAGAAATCTAATTTTATCATATTCACACCGAGACAAAACAGGCAAATACTTGATCTAGCTTTTAATATTAGTAATTATTCGATTGATCGTGTTAAGGAAGCTACTTTTCTTGGTGTAATTTTGGATGAACATTTAACATGTAAATCACATATACATAATGTTGCTCGGAAAGTGTCTAAAGCCATAGGTATAATTTATAAATCAAGTTTTTGCCTTAATAATTCCTCCTTACGGATGCTTTATTTTAGCCTTATCTACCCATACTTATTCTACTGCGTGAGCGTCTGGGCATCGACCTACCCATCAAACCTCAGAAGATTAATCCAACCTCAAAAATGGGTCGTAAGAATAATGTCGAGGAGTGCTTTCAATGCTCACACTGACCCCTTATTTAAAAATTTAAAAGTTCTGAATCTTGAGAGTATCTATAAACTTCAAATAGGAAAATTTATGTATCAATACAGATCTGGCTTACTTCCTTATAGCTTCAATAACATGTTTTTGGTGACACGCCTGGTGGATTCTTATGGCCCTAGAACGCAGGACTAATATAAGAAAGTTCTCCATCAGTTTCCAAGGTCCTAAATTTTTTAACTCTCTTAGTTTTGAAATTCGAGATGCAACAAGTAGCGCTTCCTTTTGCTATAAGCTGAGAGCATTCCTCTTATCAGAAAATTCTAATTTAAATATATAAATATATGTATTTTTTTCTTCTTCTCTTTTTTTTTTTTTTTTTTTTTACCTTTGCTCTTTTTTTTTCATTTTTTTTTTCTTTTTGTCATTTCGCTTTTTTTAGCCTAGAACTATGATTAGTACGACTATCTAATATATTTAATATAAGATTTACTGCAGCTCTACCATTGATTTTCCCATGTGTAATTATGATAATATTTTGTTTTAATTATCCAACCGAGGGAGTCCATTCCTTATAAGCCCGGTGGCTTCTCTTGGGCTTCCTCGCCATGAGAGTTTAAATAATTAGATTCTATTTGATTTGTACAATTTATGGCAAACAAAACAATAAACAATAAACAAGGCTAGTAACCAGAACGTTCTAGGTCCGACTCTTACCGGAAGTAATTGGAGTTTTTTCGAGTCGCCGGTGTGCACAGTGTTCAGTCAAAAACGAAAGGTTACTTCCCTTTTTTCACACAGCGGCATCAAAGAAAAAAATTCATGTTCTCCCACAGGAGTCGAACCTATGACCACCCGGTCACTACCCCGGATTGTTTACCACTGAGCTACAAAAGAATGGCGGGATATTCGGTGATATTTGAGTGTAACACTGACAAGATGATCATAGGGGAATGCAATTTTCTTTATGATATCTTTTTTTTTTCGGCTCGAAAAACACACCGAGTATCGATCACTGGCTCAATACTTTGAGAATCTCTCGGAAGTATTTGACTAAACTTTATATTTTTAAATTTCGAGACCACTTTGTTGACCTGCACCTACAAAAGAATTCAAAATAAAGGTAATATTATTGTATGATAAAAAAGGTGTTTCAGTTTCCGTTTTTGTACCGGTTACCTCACCGAAACCGACAGGTTTGTAGAATGTTAGGGATCAAATTTTTAATTCTTACATCAATAAATTGAAAATAATTTTCGGTGTTAGCTGAGCCGTTTCAGGGTCATAAACATTGCTTGTGAAGTTGCTAAGGAAATAGAAAAATAGAAAATATGAAGAATATGTAGAAATATGAAAACGAAAACTGTAAGTTTTAGTCTAGTTGCAGTTAAGTTTCCATTTGGTCTTCAAAATTATTGAAAAAAAAAACTTCTGAATACCTTTAATTGGTTTAAACTGAGGTGTTTGTTTTAATACTTTTTCTGTTGAGTCACTAGGGAAGAACTGTTTCAGCAAAGCGGAAAGCACAACTCAGTTCAAAGTAGAAGCCAGCGTTTACGTTCAAGACCATTAATTCAAACAATGATTCCAGGGTTTTTAAAATTAATATGATTTTGAGGATTGGAACCTTTGAATATTCTCCTTTTGGATGCGGTCAGAGTACAAGAAGGTGCCTGCTTTCACCATCGGTTTTGTGCTTCTGGTAGAAGTAGAGCCTCGATGGATTTATTTTTAATGGTATTTAATAGTTACGCGGTTGTTTGGTTGTATCGTTAACAACACGGCACGATAAGGGGTAAAGCAAAAGTTGTAGAATATTAGGGATTAAATTTTTAATTCTTACATCAATAAATTGAAAATAATCTTCGGTGTTAGCTGAGCCGTTTCAGGGTCATAAACATGCATTGCCTGTGAAGTTGCTAAGGAAGTTTTACTCTCTCATTGAAGTGGCAAAGTTAAAGTTTTTAAAAACCTGAAGCGACCAACTTGTGGCGAAGACATCTTAGATCGGTTATTAAGGCAGATCCCAGTCGGTGTTTGACAAAATCGCAGTTTTACGACAAAACGTTGACTAATTTGTTATCTGTAACAGTAGCAAGTTCATCCAGTAAAGAAATGTCACTATCGTCTATTATAGTCTCAATCTAAAAATACCTTTTACGAATTGTTTTTGAAACACGACAATGGAATCTGTGCTTTTACTTCGGTGCTGACGCTTATAGTTTGCGACTCATCCAGGTGAACTCAACTTTAGACAAAATCTTAAAAGGTCGGCTTTTGCCATGAGATTTTAGTTGAATTTTTTACGACGTAACGTGTTTTACGACGTAACGTCGTGATATATTTGAAGACTTAAGGACGACCTTCAAAGTACACTGAACGATATTCGATTTCTCGCCTAGCCTGCGTAGCAAGCGTTTCCTAGGGAGGTTCGTCAAGAAAACTGGGACAAGAGCAAAAAAAAATGAATGACGGGGGAGGGGGAGGGGAATAATAACTCGATTGGAAACGCTTGCTACGCAGGCTATTTCTGGCCGTAAAATAGACGTTGGTATATTTTATGACGTAACGACGTGTGCACAAGGTTTACGTCGTAAATTTTACGACGTGATACCTGACAGGAGAATTTGACCCCCTGGACGTGAAAAAGGTGTTAGAAAGTCAAAAATGTGCTCAAAATGTTTAAATGTACAAAACTGTAAAACGCACGTGCAGAGTGATTGTTTTTGCTCATTAAACCTATTGTTTTGTGGCGTTCTCGTTGCCGTTGCCGTCCTCGTTGCTTAAGCTCTCTATTTAATGACGGTGACGATCCGTCTACGTGGCACAAGTTCAAATAGAGAAATGGATATCTCTAAAACAGCGAACGGGGAATAAAGGAACGGGGAACGGGGAATCTCTAAAAGGGGGAATCTTTAACCCTTTCCCTCCTAAGAGTGACTTTATAGATTTTACTCTGTCTAACGCCAGACGACTTTACTCGTCAAAGGGAGACCCCTTAGGAATTAAAGAGTTAAAATAAGGAATCTCTAAAAGTGGAAATCTATAAAAGTGGGAATCTCTAAAATAGAGAAACTCTAAAAGGGGGAATCTCTAAAACCCGGCACGTCAGTGATGATACCCGAAGCAGAACGAGTGCGTTTGCAGTTCTTGTTGTATTATATTTTGCTCGAGTTGCTTTTCCCGCTAGCCTGTTTTATGCTCTTGTTGCTATTAGACAAGGCCATAAGGGCGGAGAGATGCCAGTTTTAGCCTTTCCATTTTTAAACTGATCTTCAGACAAGCTT